AAATATATTGTCTGCATAAAACAGTAAATTTAATATCAAATGAGAATAATTTTTAATGATCAAATCGTAATTATGGTCACAGCAGCTGTAATTGAAATTCAGACGCTGCTCAATTGCTACTATTTTAAATGATTATTGTCGAACATCTATAATTATTTCTTTAAAATTGTAAAAAATATCCTACAAAATCTCATCGGTTGAGGATAAGAGATGTGAGGTCACTCAAGGCATACATGGGCGCGGAAAAAATCGAAAGAATTTTTCTCTCGAAATACCTTAGCAATTTTAAAGATTTTCTTCCATTTCTAAAGTTAAAAAAAGGTCTTCAATTTCCTGTGAAAAATCACTAGCAAATCGGAAGATTTCTCGGCTGCCCCGGGGGCTTAGCTCGGGCGATTTAAGAGGGGGGTATCCGGGCTTACACCATGTATGCCTCCAGGTAAACATTTAATGATAACACACATCTTATGCGCACTATGCTTTACATCCAATGCTGCCCCTGACAGCCATCGAGTGAACTATGACAGTTTTGCATGTATTGTGCTTCAAGGCAAGCGCATACGAAAGCTGTTTACATGTAAAGCAATATTGTTCTCAAGACAACTGTCAGGCAGCTACTTTTAGCTGTCAAAGGAGCGCATGAAGACTTTGGATAATAATAACCCTTCTGGAAATATTTCGACTTCATAGCCGACTATAAATTGACTAATTTGGGACAAAAATGGCTGATATTTCAGCCAGCTAAAGTTAACTATAAGTGACTATATGCGTCTTCATGTAACTTGAGTTGAGAAATATCGATTGTGATCATAGTTAACTACGGTTAACTATAAGTATATGAAATTGACTTTTGTCAACTATGTTGACTATAATCACTTTTATTTAAGTCTGAAATTTATCTAATTTATAGTCAGTCAGTCATTTTTTTTCACAAGGGAATAATATTTATTCACCGCCAAAACTGGCTGAATCATGATTGGGGGAAATTAAGAAAAACGAGAGGGGTAATCTTTTCATTCGTAGAGGGGTAGGCGAGAGAATCTGGCTCAAAACCCCCAGCAAATCGAAAGATTTTATCTTCGAAAAAAACCTTAGGAAATCGGAAGAATTTCTCGCATTTCCAAAACTTTATGGTCTAAAAAAGTTATTCACTTTTCCAATAAAAAACCTTAGCAAATTAAGAGAATTCTTTGAAAATTATTGAGGGGTAACATTTCTTCAGGGGGCTAATCATTTTTAAGTACAGTAAAACCTGTGAATAACGGAACCTCTAAATAGCGGAAATCCTGCGAATTGCGGAAAAAAAATTCCGCCGTTAAGCTCTCCCATATAAAATGACCTCTGAATACCGGAAAGCGCTTACCCCGAATAGCGGAAAATTTCTTGGCGGCATCCGAGAATTTCTTTGATTTGCTAGGGTTTTTGTGTGAAATGGGAAAAATTCTCCCGATTTGCTAGAGTTTTTGACCCGAATTCTCCTCTCTGCAAAACTTTTTTTCCGATTGGAACAAATAAAACCCGCTTGCTAGGGTTTTCTGAGCAAAAGTTAGTTTTGAAAATATGAACCCTCAATCACACCTTCCAAGGAACGGGTAATTTGGTCTGTCTCCGCTCGATATCTCTAGGAAATGGAACGAAAATCATTTTTTGGAAGTCACTTTTTCGGTGAAAATCCCTAGCAAAGTGAAAGAAATTTTCGTTTCCAAAAACCCTAGGAAATTGAAAGTTTTTTCGTATCATAAATTCCTAGCAAATTCCGGAAGATTTTCTCCCCAAAATAAATTGAGGAGCTAAAAAAGGTCTTCACTTTCAAAAATATCACAATTGTAAACCAGTAATTTACAATTCTTTCTCAAGGGTAGGGTAATTCTGACCCTCGGGACCCTGACTATGCCCCCAATACTGAATTTCTTATTCTTAGTTGTCCAAAAATCTGCAAACAGTGGAACCTCCAAATAGCGGAAACACTGTGAATAGCGGAAAATTGTTTATTCCCGCCGGATTCCGTTATTCACAGGTTTTACTGTATATATTGTTATATTATTTTTATATTGAAATAAATACTCTACTGTGATTCTTGAACAACAAAGTAAACAGGGGACTGGTAATAATGCAAATTATAGGGGACTGGTTATAATTTTGCTCTAATTATCAGTTCCGTAGATCTAGCATATATATAAATACGGATGAAATTCTAGCGATGACATTCAGTTTACGTTTCAAATTAAGTGGAAAAAGTGTGCTTTTAATGCTTTTTAAAAGGATTTTTACCTTATTGTTTGGTTTTGGTTTTTTTTCTTCGTAAATTTCGAAAACAGTGTAAAATGTTGCCAGACTATGTGAAAAACTGCATCCATAAAATTGCCAAATCCGAAGGTTTCACCGATTATTCTATCCAATTGAAGGCCGGCTCAAGTCATGGTGATAATTTTTTGGGAATCATGATTGCGGTCACGTTGTCTGGCACACGGCGTCAACAAAACGGTGTCATTCGATCGGAGGAATTACATTTGCTGTGCAAAACACCACCAACGAATGAAGCTCGACAAAAACATTTCCACGCATCAGTGGCATTCAGTCGTGAAATTTATATGTATACGAAATTATTGCCAGCATTCGTTCAATTTCAACGCGAAAAGGGTTTGAATGACATCGACGCATTTGTATCATTTCCAAAAGTGTTTGTATGTGAAATGAACGAAGAAACCGGTTCGTTTACATTAATTATGGAAGATTTGCGTCCGAAACATTTTGAAATGTGGCCCAAGAACAAGACAGTCGCACTCGATCATGAGCTACTCGTTATGCGTGAACTGGCTAAATTTCATGCCGTTTCATTTGCGATGAAAGATCAATGTCCAAACAAATTTCGTGAATTCAAACAACTTAAAGATACGTTTGTTAACGTTTTTATAAAAGATACACTAATAACACTCCTTCCAAACCTAATTGAAAATGCAATTGACCTACTGGAGAAGCCTGACCACAAGAAAATTATGCAAAATTTCCGAAAAAATTATTTGGAAAGAGCAGATAAATTGAAAACGGACCCATATTGCGATGAATTTGGAGTTATAACGCATGGTATTAATTTTAAATTGAGGGGTTCCGAGGAAAAATTTTACGTAGAAAAGTTCCGCGGAAAAATTTTCGGGAGCTAAATGATATCATTTAGCAAAGCTAATTGGTACCAAATAGCTCTTCTAAATGATACCAAATAGCTCAACTAAAGCTATTTGGTATCAGTTAGTTAGGCTATTTGGTACAAGTTAGCTTTGCTAAATGATATCATTTAGCTCCCGAACATTTTTCCGCGGAACTTTTCTACGTAACATTTTTCCTCGGAACCCCTCAATTATAAATAGGAAGATAACAGAATTCAAATGATCGATTTTTCATTCAGAGCTATTATTGACATCGGAGCATTATGAAAAAATAAAGAGCACCACGGAGGATCCTCCTATAGTGATAAAAAAGAACTTTTACTCTTTTCTCTGATAAAATAGCTCTGAAATTGATAGAACTCTTATTTGAATCAATATTTCATTAAAAATAGGTGATTGCTGGAATAATAACTTCATGTTTCAATATACCGATGAGACGGTGAGTAAAATGGGAAAGAAGAGATATGATGATTTTTAATTTAAATTTCGATTTGTCTTTATCCCTCAGAAGAAGCAGTTGAAGTCAATTTGCCTTGTCGATTGGCAACTGTCTCATTATTCTCCACCTGTAATTGACCTACTGTAATTGACACACTGAAGAATAAAATATATATTCAAATAATCAATGTATACATAAATTCTCAGGTACAATATATTCACAGGAACAGACCATGAATTCCGTGCTCAGCATTATGAGACGTTGTTGAAAACATACCACACATCATTGAGCGATACAATAAGAAAACTCGGAAGTGATCCTGATAAATTGTACACGTATGATGATTTGATCATGCAAATGAAAAAATTCAGTGATTATGCATTGTTACTGGCCCCACTAATCATTTCGATTCGAGTAGCTAAAGCAAAGGACATATCGAATTTGGACGAATATGCTGAACATTGTGAACGAAACGAAAGTGTTGAAATGCTTGGTAAATTTGACGATGACACTCAAGCTGAATTTAGTCGACTAATGAATGGCCTACTCACTGATCTTGTCGATTATGGTTATGTAAAATGTGAATAAAAAATGTAAATGTGGATGTAAACTTGAAATTTCAAAGGTATAGTTTAACCTATCAACTTTTTGTTAAGCACGGATGGAGGAAAAAATTAGTATCACCTATGTTTTATAATTTTTACGCACGGTTATTATTTCTTTTTATTATTAATAAATTTGGGTTCTTTTTTTTTATCTAGAATTGAATATCAGAATGTTATATTGTTGATTTTTTTTTTTTTTTCATACTTTTAAGTACATACCTAATTGTCTTTGATATTACTGTCTATGAATTTCGTATACTCAAACCGTTTCGTGAATAGACTGACATCACAGATAAATTTGCGATATTTTCGCAAGTCATATTCACAAGTGCATTTTGTGCACAACGTATTCAGACGGCGATTTTATGATACACTTCCGAACGAAAGGTTCAGAGTATTGAATAGATTTCTGGGGGTCTGGAAAAATTGTGATATTTTTCATTTTTATATGTTTTAATTATAGGTAATGTTACTGCTCTACTTGTATAAACCACTCGGTTTCAGTTGATCTACATCGTACATGCTTGACTCAACAGTCACTCAATTTATTTTTACTCAACATTGAACTGTTCATCGACTGATGAATAGCACCCTGTACTCTCGTAAAATTTTGAACATTTCATTGCATTTTTGCTACATAAAATGTAGCAAAGACGTATTACAATCATCATAATGATAAAATATGATTTCGTTAAAGTAGAAGCAAACAATTGATAAAAAAATTGTTTTAGTAATCAAATGCTTCAACAACTTTGAGTGGAATCTAATTGCTATCTTTTCAAATAAAGTTTTATGTCAAATCATTCTCGTATGCTAAGAGTTTCGCGTTTACTTTATCGCAAGCTTTAAATTACCGGAAAGTTTTTTTCATTCGGTACATAAAATGAATGGATATCTACCGACATTTAGTAAATGAGTCTCGCAAGACCGACTTTTATCGCGTTAATTTTTGTTCATTGGTTTTGAAAATTTTTCAAAAATGTTGCCAGACTATGTGACAAATTGTATCCATAAAATTTCCAAATCCGAAGGTTTCATCGATTATCGTATCGAAATGAAGGATTCTTCAAGTCATGGGGATAATTTTATGAGTATTATGATTGCAACAAAATTGTCTGGCACACGTAGTCAAAATGGAACAGTCCAATACGATGAATTGCATTTACTGTGCAAAATACAACCAATGAATGAAATTCGGCAAAAAAAAAATTCAATTCCTCATTAGTATTTGAACGTGAACTTTACACGTACACGAAAATATTGCCAGCATTTGTACAATTTCAGCACGAAAGGGGATTAAGTGATGCCGAGTCGAAGATTTACGACCGAAAAACTATGTAATGTTGCCAAAGGAAAAAATAGTTCCCATCGACAATGCGTTAATGGTTATGCGTGAAGTGGGTAAATTTCATGCGATTTCATTTGCATTGAAAGATCAATGTCAAATGAATTTGAAGAGTTTAAACAACTTAAAGAAGCTTTTGTTGGAGTCTTTTTAAAAACTCATCTGAAACCATTTGTACCACAATGCTTAGAACGTGTTATTGATACGTACACTGGACAATCCCGAACACAAAAAAATCCTCGAAAAATTCCAAACGAATTTTATGGAACGGCTGGAAAACTTGATCAATGATCCATACTCAGATGCTTTTTTGTCTTAAATCACGGAGACCTTTGGTCAAATAACTACCTCTCCCAATATAGTGACGATTCAGTGAGTAAATTATGAAAAAAAAAA